TGGAATAACGGCGAACGAGCAATAAAGCTGAAATATTGTGAAAATTCACCCTATTTAAATTTTGCAAGTAAGCGGTTATTACCATGGTAAATTTTAAAAGCCATTTTGCTTACTGAACTGATTTAAGCGGTTATTGTGCATGGTGGCCTTCCAAGGCCCCCTCTGCAGTTCAATAGCACCACCAACCCCCCTGCTGAACCAACAGCCGGCGTACAAAATTGGGAGATTGTGCAAAATTCGCCCTGCTTAAAATTTGTAACAAAGCGGTTATTGTACATGTTTGCCCTCCAAACACCCCTCTATAGATCCCTGCCCACGATAGAACCCTTACCTTTCCGGAAACTATTAACTTGAGAAGTTAAACCTGATCTATTAAAATTAGTCGGGATGGGCAGGCTTAGGCACACGATCTCACTCGAATCGGTTATATAGGCTTTTCTAAGAGAATGAATTAGCTGGGACTTTGAAGGTCTATCGCGCCCAAAAAGCGGCTTTTGTGTGAGCCAGCCTCAGAGAGATGATTGGTCAGACCGGACTGTGGTAGCCCCCCATGTGCGCCCAGTCGCGAGAGGACAAAGGTTGCAGTTTACGGCACCTGTGATTGGCTGTCCCAGAGGCGAGTCGAGACTTGCGATTACGTGTCGTCATGCCTGGTGCTGACAGACAGACAGACGGACGGTTTTGGTCGCCCAAACTCCGCAATCTTTCTTGCTTGCTACCTTGAGAACCAAGATCTAAAGTCACTCGAAGTAAAGAGTGGTATAACCAAATCATTGCAGTCACCCCCGATGACCTAAACTGTCACCCACTCTGTTTACATGGAGCTCTGGCTAGTGAAGTGTTTGGAAGGAAGTCGTTCACGAAATGCTCAAAGCTCTAAGGCTATTTTAACATAAGTGAACTCTGGCTAATCAATAAGAAGTGCTGGTTACAAGAGATTGGAGGAGTTATCGGTTATAGTGAGGGTAGTAGGTAACGCTTCATCACACTTTCTTTCTCTCTGCAAAAATTGCAACGTTAATTTATTCGACTTTTCTGATTTAAAACGACTTACAGGACCATATAGTACAAAATAGCTTTTTGAGAACGTTCCTTCTGGACTTAAATCACCGCCGCACATGGCTGCAAAGCAGTGGAACTTTCGTGGAAGAAAGACCGATAACGAAAAAAAGAAGTTTACTATTTTTGTCCTCATCTCCCATTGTCTTGGACGAAACTCACACCTTTGATTTTATTATTGCGATTAACTGGTGTTACAACACCGAGACAGTGTCGTAGGCATCTGCTAGTGAAATTATCAAACTATGAGTCCTCGAGTCGCACGCGGCGAAACCGAAAGGTCCTTACCAATGTCGCAGTCGGCGATTGCCTACGGAGTCATTATAGTTAATTACAGGGACGCGATTGACCTGGTCTCGGCCGATCGTGTCGCTTCTCTTGTGATAGTTCCGCGAAAATTCCCATTTTACGATTTAAACGTCCTATTGGCAAACAATTGTTTTCTGTCATTCATCATCAGGCCGGTAAATGACATGGGGGATAAAACTGGTCAGTTAATTGCAGCGTTTATATAATCCTCAGGTTGGGGGGAGGAAGAGGGTTAATGGGCGAGGGTAATTAAGCAGCTGGGTTTTCCCTCGTCTCCTGAATGCGGGCGCCTGCGCGGGTAGGACGTTGGTTGCGATGGGCAGAGAAGACAGGAGGGATGTTCTGACGGTCAGCGGATTGACATCTGTTTGTCAGCCACGTACGTTGCGCTTGACTATTCTCTGTGGCTTCGTTCTGTGTGTTTTCAGACGACGTAGTTTCAGTAGGCGTGGGGTTTCCGCGTGCAGTCGGCCAAGGGAGACATATTGCGTGTACCAGCGCCTTTTGACAGCATAGACTGGGTTTTGCTAACCTGATTGCCA